AAATAAATGCTCAGAGGTTCTTCGTTCGCGCCCGAAACCACATTGTTCTTCTTGTATTTTGGAGTCAGTTACTCCGCGGCACCTCCTTTTAAACACCTTTGCTTACACTTTACCCGAGAGACACAATAACGTAACGCTCCCATAATTGGAGCACTCCCGGTGGTTTCCCTTCTTGAATATGGGTACAAAAACTCGCGTTCTTCAGTCCTGTGGAGTCTTCCCGGTGGCTATCACAGTTTGACAGACACGTGTAAGCCAGCACATGCCTTGTTCGCCTAATACCTTGAACACTTCAGGGCGGATTTCATTTTTTCCAGCAGCCTTTTTATTTTTCAAGCTTCTCAAAGCTTCTGTAATTTCATCTACAGAGATAGTAATATCCCTTCCCAGTTGCTCTACATGCGAATCCTGCAGTTGCTCGAGTTACTGAGTTCCTCAATTTATTCTCTCCATTGCTGAAAAATCTTCTCATCCTTGGGAAGAGGGTATCCATTCTCGCCCGTAAAGACTCTCGGCTTGCCATTCTTTTCACCTCGGAGCCGGCGAATGGTCTGCCTGAATAATCTTGTTTGCAGTGTTGAAATTCGACTCCAACCCCTCACCGAACTTCTCCCAGTAATCAGCTTCGGGTTTACCACTGCGTTTGCTGCCGTCTTGCATGCCTCGACATATCGCACGCGAATACAAGGCTCTTTGTTTCCATGCCATTTCTTGAACGCATTATTCTTCTCTTTAACTGCCAGCTGCATCTCTAGTGTCCACCAGGAGGGCCTATCCGCAGCACTAGAAAGCTGACTCGAGTATACCGCCCTTAAATAGCTGCCACTTGGTTTCCACATCGCCAGTCATCACCGAGAATTGATCAAATCACCGTGCAGTGTTGCTTGGAAATTTTTTTTCACGTATCCACCGAAGATGATGTTTCCCATTGGACTCTAGGGTTGGTTCTGCCACCAGATCTTCGTATGGTAGTCCATTTATTACAGCGCAGCGTGCCAACAACATGGTGGTGAACGGGCGATAGTTTGGCCTATCTTAACGCAAACTTCCATTA